GATTGCATGCTTCACACTCTCATGTAATATTTCTTTCCTTTCTTCGTCTTTTTGTGAGAGCTTGGACAATCCACTTGTCCAGGCAAGAAGGCAGCAATGCCTGTTCATTCTGGCGAAGTAAAATAAAATATACCAACCAACCAACCAACCATATGCGCCTGTCAAGAAGTGAGGTGACCTTGTCATACCATAGCTGTCACATATCTTCCAAGGATTTCGCCGTGCTGAAATCTTCTAGACGAGAGTTGACCAAGTCCTGGCAGAGCTGCGGAAGATTTATTCCTCTGGTGTTTCGGCTAGATCTGAGTACTGGCAGGGTTGGCATTTCGAAGGCAAGGGTAGCCAAGATGGGGAGGTGGTCACTGAGGCTATGTGGGAGAACGCGGCAAGAGCCCACTGCACCGTCCTCAGCCAATAGGAGGGCTATGGTGGTTCTGGACCCACCACGTCCAACACGCGTCGATTCAGTGACGTGGTTCAAAATACAAAAGTTACCGTAGAAGTGTTGAAGATGAGTCAGCTGGGCGGCTCTGGAAGACGATGTGTCGATATTGAAATCTCCGATCACAGCAATAGGCGTGCCGGCCCTGGGCGCGTGGACTGAGTCCACAGCGTCAGTCAGCTTGTCCCAGTACGAAACTTGCGACCCAGCAGGTCGGTAGACTGTGCCGAGGATTAGCTTACCATTGAGGCCGTGAACTAGGAGAAAGAGAAGTTCAAGATCACCACGAGCAAAGTCCTCTAGCCGAGTAACATGAAGTGAGCTCCGTACATAGGCCGCTACTCCACCACCGAAGCCAGGTCTGTCTTGACGGATAAGTTTATAGTTTGGGATATTGACAAGGCTGTCCGAGGTCTCTGAGGTCAGGAATGTCTCGCAAGATGTATGGAAAGCCTTGTCGACATCCCAAACTATAAATTTATATTTTTATATTTTTCATATTTACAATACACGGGTTCTCGTAAAACCAATTCATACGATGTACCCCCTCATAGTTCCCAGTGGTAACATGCAGACCCGCGTACATGATTCCGATCGTTTGCCTGTTGTAACCTAACTCTCATTGCAACCGCGGGTTCTGATCAAATATCGGCACAGAGCCGTCAGCGCTACCCCAGGAGTAGTTCTCAGTAGAGATAAACGCATCTTCTGACTGTTCTTAATCTTGTTACAGTCGTGGATACTTGCTGCATAATTCGTTCTCACGTGCTTTCGTCTCTTTTTTAACATTAATTACAAATATGTGTCACAGGTAGCCATTTCCAGCGAGAATGCATACGTGGACGCGAGTGGGCAGGCAAGCATGTTAAGGACAGGCATAGTGCAATGCACTGTTTTGCAATGAATTCCATCGGCATCTATCATCTGCCACCTCCTGAAGATGGGCTGGGCCAGGTCACAACAGAAGCAAAAATCTTACCTTCTCCCTACAATCCAGTGAGAGAGTGGTTAACAGCGTTGTTCTTGGTCCACCTCCCCTTCCTGACAAGACACCAGATGCAGCAAAATCGAGAGCGACCTGTGGCGGTGCCCCAAGTGTTCAGGGCAAAATCTTTAATGTATTCTGCTTCAAATGCATCTGACTCCTGAAAGGGGAACTTCACCGAAAATCAAAACTTCATGATCCGTAGAAGTTTTTGGCGCTGTGTCGAATGGTAAAGGTCCCACTTCGATCCGACCAAGCGTCAAGAGGGTTGCAACCAGACCTTCTTGACAGCATGACATCGCTGTTTCTGTTTTGTTTCTAAGTAGACTATGTAATGAAGTCCTTATTTTTGAGTTCCTATTTTGGCCGCGTACAAATTGTCGTGCATATTTCAGGTCGGTACCAACCACACTGCACTTTTTCGGCTGAATAGCCGACGTTTTCAGCCGACCAACATGTGACGTTGTCGTACCAAAGCGTGTGCCACCCGCTGAAAAAGACTGGGATATTCAAAAACAAATGTTATGAAGAAGATTTCTCCTCGCGTTGTTGTCGTGGCAAACATTACGTCTGGAGTAGTTTGTTCTGTTTTGTGTCATGAACTTGCACTATTGCAGTAGCGATTTGTTGTGCTGCTCTATGGGCCCTGCAAAGGATTTCAGTCAACCTTGTAGTTCAGATCAGACCCACTATAAAGTGGTCAAAGACCGAAATCTCCTTAGCTGCATCCATGTTTCCCTCCTGCAAGGCCACCGCTTACGAGCTGCATCTGCGCCTTGATCCTAGAGGGTGGTGGCTTTCCTACACATGCGTAAAACTCGGCTTCCAGGCGAGTCTCACGCGAACCATGAATATTTTGCAGCTCAGAACGATGCTCGGAAAATGGTGGTGCTGCAGTTACAGCAATAGAAACTGTTTACAAGTACACACATTCTCCTCGTTGGCTTCTTAGTTCTGAATCATACCAGAGAGCGTGAGACGTTTATTGTGGACTGCACATCCTGAGAACGAGATTCCATGTTCTACGCAAAATGCACAAACTACAAAGTTTCGGCATAAAAAGAACATTTCGACTGGGAGGAGTTTCAGAAAAAACAACCCTCAGCCCTGTACACTGTACTTGATCACTAAGTAGCACAAAGGTCGAGAACGGTAAAGTTGAGTTCAAAAACAAACAGAAGACTGATCCTCGACGATGACAGGCTAAGGGTGTGTCATTTATCGGGGCGGTCGAGGAGTCCAAAATATACCAAAGCTCCTATTCCCAAAACCAGGGCTTCGCATGCCACCACTATGACTAGATACTAAACATACAGTTAGAAAGTGCAACTCGTGGCCTGGCACGAGGAAAAACATGGATGCAGTGAATGGGAATTTCGGTCTTCGACCACTTGCTGGTGAGCTGATCTACTCACCTCCCACCGTCTAAGGAGCTGCATCTGCGCCTTGATCCTTGAAGTGTCGTGGCGTTCCTATGGATGCGGAAAGCCCGACTTCCAGCCGAGTCTCACGCGGACCGGGATATTTTTTAATAATTAAAGTGCAACTGCTAGGCACAAAACTGACAGGGTGCTAAGACATTGCTCTCTGGTCTTTTGAAACCTAGAACTTACCGAGTTGGAAAGCTGCTGGTTGGCTCTTCAGATATGTGTTGGAGGTGTCAGGTCGTGGAATGTCTCAGTATTCTGTCAGCTATTGTGCCTAATTGTTGCATTTTATGACTGTATAATTATAGTGTCTAGTTACAGTGCTGGACAGTTAGTATTAACTTTTATCGATATGGCCCTTTCGTTTTTACATTTTGTTATTGGCTCAACATCCGAATATCAAAATATACGGAAATTAGGAGGATTGCTGTGCGTCCCTCATATCCGGCCACATGTACTCCAGTCAGGTCGCACTGTGGATATTCGAGCTTTTTCTCACACCGCCTCACACTATTTTAGCGCCTCTTCTTCAGTCCATATCCGTTATATGTCTGATTCATTGTGCGGCCCAGGAAGATGAGCGCTAGCGGGGCAGCGAATCGCTTGGCAAAAACTCGTGTTTAGCTTCCAAGGACACAATCTGTTTTAGTTTCAATGCCTTATCTCATGATGTGCAGTCAACAATGCCGCGGTGATGTTCTACAAAACACGTGTATTTGTAGTAACTTGTAATGGAAGGATCCTAGTTGGATCCCCTATCGGCGTTCCAGCTTGTCTTGAATCTTTTTGGGAATCTTGTAGCAATAATGACAATGTTCCAACCGTATTGATCCCAAGCAAGGAAAGGTAAAACCCAAGGTCGCTAGAGCAGCAGGGTCGACCCACCGCTTTCCACAATTCTTATTTATATCCTGGAGCATAGTGGATTTAAAAAATACTCGTCTGAGATGCTAGCATTGAAACCCTAGCGTCCACCTTTTAAAACGAGCCGTTTTCAAGCCACCCGTACTCGTCCAACACTACTATTGACGAGATATTGGCAGGCAACTCTCAAAGGGACAATGCTATTAACAAGCCGCTCGGTAATTTAAGTACTGTAGAGAGGTGATAGAAACAGCAGAATGCAGAAGAGCTAAAGCAACAGCGATGAATTCGTGACCAATTGTCTTTGATCATTGGCTTTTGCCTGTTAGTCACCTAACCATGAGACCTGAAAGTACATGGATGATACATTTCGAGATGATATTCAAGAGCCCAAAGCGTTGCCTTCTCCTTAGTACCGGGTTTATTGCAGTACTTTTTTTTTTATTGCAACATCTCAAGATTCGGTGGAAACACCGGCCAATGTCAAGAGAGTGAGTGATTGCCAACCATGGCGAAAAAAAGGTAGGGAGAGGGAAAACAAAAGAACCATTTCAGTAACCAGGCACTGTGTGTTCCCTTCACGATTCAGTGTGATTGGTCACACTGCTATCGCGTCCACACGCTACCCAGGGTACCCACGTATGTCCTCAGTTGCAATCACAATTCAGTCTAGGTAAATGATATTGAAGGAATCTGTCCATTGTACTCGTGATAGTTGTCAGCTTGTGTGCCATCTTGCAGACGGTTAGCTAGCAGGATCACTGCTTCGCTCTATAGCAATACACAGTCTCGTTCCTTTCCTGCTAATGGCCGTAATCTCCAATCTGTGTACAATTGAGGAGTTGGTGAAACCTAGTCCACTCGGCAGACCGCATATCTGGGCATAGTGACGGATTTCATGGTGTTCCGTTGTGTAACTACAAGTTACCTCATTGTTATCTTCCTGCCGATTGCCCAGCATGTCTGCGCCGAACAAGTGATCCTGTATCCTCAAACATTTTCTAGCACGGTTCTAAAAGCTAGGAAATGGGATAGCCCATCCGTTTGCACTGTCTTAGGGACATCTGGCTGAGCGCTTGCAAAAAGTTCTGTCATCCTGGCACGCATTGACAGCAGCCATGTCGTGGTGGCTTAATCGCTATAGGTACTATCTTCTACTCTACCGTCATCACTGTTTGATGGCACGATTGACTTGCCAACAAGGCCACCCTCTATGACCGGTGTACTATTGTGGAGTGTACACGCTTTGGCATTATTACAAAGCCGATTACAGGAGCAAATATCTTCGATTATAAAAGCAAGTGGGTGAACACCGAGAATGGTCATTCAGGATTCAGACCCTTGCATGTTCACATTATCCTTTTCTGGTCAGGCAAACAACATGAGGTCAACTATGCAGACATTTCGGATCTCCCTTATCTGCTTCTTCTGTTTGGAAACCTTCACACTGAGCGCTAAGTTGGATAGAGACTATAGAACCAGATCCGACAGCGACAGCAACAGTGCGTCTTTGGAGAGTTCTTCTGTTGACAGTGATGCTGGAGCCTGCTTCCTTACTCAAACCTGTGGTACTGGAAATATCTTGGAATCTACTCAACCAACTGAGTTCGACCTGATACGAACTGCTCTGGAGTCAATAACCTCTGAGGACGATCTGGTCTCAGCCATAGAGGAGATAATAGTCCAACAGAGACAAGGTGGAACCTCTGATTGCTTCTTATCAGTTATACGTCCTACCGCACCCTCAACTATACTTCGTCTCAATGCACAAGACGCCCTCGGGTTTTCCATAGAAATTGACCTAGCTCAGGTGGCAGAACCCACTTTGTTGTTGTCTTTCATCTTCACGGATCTGCCGTCTTCTTTTGGAGAGCTCAGCTATGACGTTGTTATCGTCGACACTGGTACCCTGTCCCTCATCTCTGCCACACCACGTTTTCGCGCTACCAATGGAGGAGTATTTGATCTGTTCCTTACTGGTGAGGTGAGTAAATGCTCGAGTAGAGAGCTAGCAAAATGGATGACAAAACACAACCATGAATAAAACAGTGTAACATACTTAATACACGCTCCCTTTGGCATAGTAATTATGTCCCCACCGAGATTAGGAAATGTTGACTAAACACAAATACTTGTACAAATTGATCGTCCGCATTAATCAGCTCGTGTAGCACCCACTTCATGCTGGTTCGTAATCCGAAGCCAATTTTGCTTCGATGTTCTTCAGGGTGTCGACATTGTTAGTGCATAGAATGTACAGAGCATATTTGATGTATAATGCTGAGAATACACTAGCAACCACGCCTGATAATTTGTTTTAATTGATCGTGTCTCAGGCGTGCATGCCTGCAAAATGCGATTGCACCACATGTTTTAACCCTTTGGAGTCCGTAACTTTTTTGCTTCCGCAGAATTTGTGGCAGTCACGAAAATGCGCACTCCATTTCCAACATAACTTTGGTTCTACTTCACCGATTTTGAAGATCTTGGGCTCGTTGGAAAGCTCTTGATGAGAGAAATACAATGAGCCCAAACTCGCCAAGAGCACTATTCATTGTCCGCCACAACGCGCCCCAAACGCGAGTCAAGCTCCAGATCTGAGACGAAATCGGTCTCCTGTAGCCATTTCACTGAATCTAGCTCGTACCTGTTCAAATTTTTTCGAGTAGAAGCTTACCTTGCCGTGACTTTGCGCGCGCCGGTCCTGGCACGTGCCACCTGTCATAAAGCTGGCAAAATCCCTTTTTTCACGCACTGCTGACTCGCAGAACGCAGCGCAGAAAATTCGCAATGTTTGATCGCTCGCCGCTCACTCAAACTTCATCGGCGAGACTTCGGACGTATTCGAGGCGATAGCTGAGAGTTTTCTCTACCTTCTAGACCCTTCGAATGTTGAATTGGGTCAAGATTTGACCGAGAACCGAAAGTTTGACTGCGCCCACTCCCTTTGGAGTCCATGGTTCGAAATCGAACCATGGACTCCAAAGGGAGGGGATTGCATAGTCAGTGAAGTGAGCGAAATGTGAAAAAGAGGATGTAAAGATTAGGAAACCCTAAGTGGAAGGAATGGCACAGTTTAGTTCTCCCATTCGGCATCGTGTCTTCCAGTCAGGTCGTACTGTGGATATACACGATTCTTCTCACACCACCTCACACTAATCGTGTAGCGCCCCTTCCGCTGTCAAGCTGAAGATCCATTCTGCGCCCCGATACGATGACCGCTAGGGGGACAGCGAATATCTTCGCACAAGCTCATGTTTAGCGTCTAAGGAAACGCTCTCGTTCAGTGTCAATGCGTTATCTCATGACGTGCTGTCAACAGTGGGGGAGGTAATGACAAAACGCTAGTTCTTGTAGTAGCTTGTTTTCGAAGGATCTTGCGTCGATCTCCTGTCGGTGTTCCAGCTTGCCTCAAATCTCTTGGCTAATCTTGTCACAACATGACACTTTTCTAGCTGCAATTACCGCAAGAAAGCAAATGTGACGTTTGCATGCACTCAAGATGTCATGTACGTGTGCCTTCACCAATGTTCCCTTGATGTTCCAGAAATCTCTCCAGCGTTAGAGCAATGTTAATCATTTCACCCAGGCATTCTAAGCTGCAGTGGAATCGCCGGTCTTGTTGGTGTTCACGATGGGGCGATTTCACAGAGCTGGGTAAACGCTCGCCATCATGCCCTATTAACTCCATACCAATGCGAACGAGCGTTGGATTAGTGGTTATTGCATGCATACTGCCTTTTTGTGTCGGAAAGCAACATTATAAGAAATATAATTAACCCTTTATGTACTGAAAAAATGTTGTTGTGAAACGACAAGTTCTCGAGAGTGAAAGGCCTTCTTGCTTGTGACAGTGCGTTCGTTTCAATGCAGCTGTATCCCGACTCCGCCGTACCGCTGATGTTTACGACGTAGTATACGCTACATGCGCTATGTGCGGTTTGCTGTGTGCGCTGTAGTTGTATGTTGTATGTGTATGCTTTTCTCATATACGCTGTCATTTTCACGCTAGTGGTGGTTTTAGTGTTAGTTATTCAGTTCATTCAGTTGTTCATTCATACATTCATTGTTCATTATTACTAGTCGATGGAAGTGGAATATACTGTTGAGAATAAATAGTTGTACTCGTGCCGTGTTGGGTCGTTTGTTCCTGACACTTTAGAGAACCAGAGGGTTCACAACATTTGGCGACCACGCCAGGATACGAAACGAGCATGGCACAGGAACTATGGATCAATGAAGCCAGCTTTATCGCCAACGGAATTCGGTATGGATTTGAAGGCGATATGTTGAGAGAATACGTGGAGAAGAGGCTCCGACAGAGCGAGGAGTTTGAAGAGCGCGGTGCTAGACGGCAAGAGTGTGCGCTCCGCACAGAGTTTAACGAAAAGCTCAAGAAGATGGCCGAGCGCATCGCCGTCAGTACATATTATGAGGAAGCAAAGCGAGATTTGCTTGCCTCGCCCGGAAGGACGCCGGACAAGGCGTGTAAGACTTTGCTTACAGACAAGCAGCGGTCAGAAGAGTACTTGAAGCTGGTGGGAGGATCAGATCCAAGGCCCAGTGCGTCGGTACGGAGCATGGCGACATCGGTCGGAGACGCTCAGAAGCAGCTGGAGTCTTGGCCGAACGACGTAGAGGCACAATACGTAGAGGCGCAAGACGTAGAGGCGCAAGACGTAGAGGCGCAAGACGTAGAAGCGCAAGACGTAGACGCGCAAGACGTAGAAGCGCAAGATGTAGAGGCGCATGCGCAATATGTAGAGGCGCAAGACGTAGAAGCGCAAGACGTAGAGGCGCAAGGCGTAGAAGCCAAGGAAATGAGAAAGGCGATACTGGTTAGCACGGAAAAAGTGAGCAGCGAGACTGTGTGGAACATGGAGATTAGATGTATGTTATCCGGTCCAGCGTCCGCCCCACGAGGCAGTGGCCCAGTAACGGTGTCATGTGTGACAGCCAGGATCTGCAAGCTTATCCGTTGTGTGTTGTCTGGTCCATCGTCCGCCCCATGTCGAAGTGGATCGGTGACAGTGTCGTGTGCAACAGCCCACAGCGGCAAGCTTCGCGAAATCAAGTTGGCCGAAGTGGTGGGCATTAGTGATATTCTACCATGGCCACCACCGCAGCAGAAGATGACGCGTAGTAAGCGCCAAATCGTTTGACTTGTGAGTTGTTGTAACTTGCACGGCGGTGAGAAGCTCTTTGGTGGGGAGAATGTTGTGAAACGACAAGTTCTCGAGAGTGAAAGGCCTTCTCGCTTGTGACAGTGTGTTCGTTTCAATGCAGCTGTATCCCGACTCCGCCGTACCGCTGATGTTTACGACGTAGTATACGCTACATGCGCTATGTGCGGTTTGCTGTGTGCGCTGTAGTTGTATGTTGTATGTGTATGCTTTTCTCATATACGCTGTCATTTTCACGCTATAACTTCCTGGTGGTTTTAGTGTTAGTTATTCAGTTCATTCAGTTGTTCATTCATTCATTCATTGTTCATTAATATTAGTCGATGGAAGTGGAATATACTGTTGAGAATAAATAGTTGTCCTCGTGCCGTGTGGGGTCTTTCGTTCCCGACACTTTAGAGAACCAGAGGGTTCACAACAAATGTACACAGACTGAATTTGATCTCGACTCACCTCAAATTCTATAATTATCCGGGTCATAACTTTAGTCTCCTTTTGACGATTTTTTTAATCTTTGGGTTCCTTGGGGTCAACCATGGCCAATTTTGGACTTGCCCCTATCCTCCTAATACTATTCTATTTTTTTACACCCTGATGTTGAGGGCTAAGTTTCCTAGTGCATTGAGAGCTCGACTGAAAAAGCATGGTGCAGGAATAATAATTATACTAACAGTTCACACAACAACAAATGAGAGTTCTCCGGCTCGGTAGAGTGCTCAATATTCGTTCGAATAGAGCTATATTGCACACGACACAGAGCACCATGGATCATCCGTAGCGACGAATGCTCTGTCTTGTGACACCAGTTTGTCTGTGAACAATGATATGGGACCGTGCTTTCTCACCCAAACTTGGCAAACTGCAAATATCTTTCACATTACTTAACCAACTGACATGAAAATGTCTTCACTAGAGTCGTATCTCTCCCTAGATGATCTGCTTCAAAGTATATTGGAGATCTTTGATAAGGAACTCGAATATGTCAGAAATGGTTTAGAACAGACTCTCTCTCTGCCATTCACTCGACAAGAATGTCTAGTTGGATGATGTTGTCGAATAACTGGGAGGGGGCGGTTCTTATCTAAACCATTTCCAATGGATGTAGTTGCGGAAGCTTACCAAAAGCTTATACGGAGAATAATGGCATATTATGGAAATTCAGATTAAACATTAGCTGAGGTGTTGAAAACCTTTAAGGATCTTATTTTTCGAAAAATGATCTTCAGTGAACACCTGCAACTTACTCTGTGGAAAAGAACCGGTGAGGTTTGGAAACACCTAAGTGTTAGAGTATTAACAGCTTCTCTCTGAAAACCACCTTCGCCTTTGTTATTAAGTGCTGGAAACTACACTTAGACCTGGGGTCCCCCACGAGGAGGAAGCGAATGTAACGATCTGTATATTTGGTTTTTTGATCACCTTTTTGCTCCCAAGATTTACGTACTCTATGTACCATGTACGTTGACTGTTAGGAGTGATGGCATTTCTATCGATTCTGGCACATAGCAATAAGGCTCCTTTGTTTAAACATCTTCTGCGTCTTCTGCGTGAACAGGTGTGTTCCTTATCTCAACCCTTGGTGTGCGGAGGAGCGGCTCCAACGAATCCAACGTTGCCTGCAGATTTGCCAACATTGCCGCCTGCTCAAGCCGCTGACCTTGATGCTGCTATGGCGTCAGTGCGAGGTGCTCTTTGCCCGCCGTAGCGGCAAATCGAACCAGTCAGGAATTGAATTGAACGCAGTTATTGACGTGATGGGTGCCAACATTGAACTTTGCTAGGCTCGCACTCATCCATACAGGCTTTTATTGATACCCTCGTTCTCCCACGTATGTAACACAATAACGGAGAGTATCTCTTGTACGGGAAAATACACACAAGAGCAACCTAAACAACGGATATTGAGCTAAAAGGGCCGTGAGCACAGACTGATACCTAGATAACGGAGATAACGGAGATAACGGAGAGTATTCAGTCCTACAAACCTGTAACTTTATTGTTTTTCCCCTTCTGCTTCATAGGCATTTCAGCCATAAATTTACTTACTTGCAACGCGAACGGAACCTTAGACCGCACACGTGGACCTTTCCAGATCTGTATGTCCCTGTAAATGAACTATGTAGGGAACACATTGTGTACATGTGTTCCTGAGGCCGCAAGTCCACCCACCCTCTCACTGATGTTAAATTTTATACTTTAAGTTAGTTCCTTTCCTAGGTCTGGTTGTGCAAAGCTTGGTTTATCTACATGTTACCTCAATTTACATGTTCATTCTCCCTCTCCAACCGGCATTCCAGCTTATCCACGCCGAACGAGTGGTCATGTTACCTACGATACATTCTTAGCAGAGATCGACACACCTTAATATAAGTGGCTTGCAATCCTGATGAACGCACGCAGTAGCTGATCGCTCAGGTACGTCTAGGTTTGTGGCCTGGACGCTTACACCAGTTTGGTGTCATCTTCGGGAAATAAAATCAGTAACATCAATGTAGTTTCATCGTAATGTACTCACATTTTCCGTCCTTACCGGTACAGAAACATGTACCAGTAAATCGATAAGCTGACATAAAATGTTCCGCTCTGTTGTTCAATTTTTCAATGTCTGAATAAGGTGTTTGTACAGTCTTTCTTACTCGCGAAATAACCTATAAACTGCGGCAAAAGGCTCCAGCAGATATGATTGCGTGATCCCACGTAGTCTAGTCGGTAAAGCACCGGAATGGAAAGCTAGGGGCGGTGAAATTGGATCTTTACTATGGAACGATGTTTGCCAAATTACCGCCAGGAAATTGCTGTACGACTCTCGCCCATACCTACCCCTCTCCTCGTTAGTACATACATCTTGACAACACAGCCTGTTAGATCTGGGTATTTCGCGTAGCAAGAAAAGGCCGCGAGTGTGTTGCATCCATGAAACCAAATCGGTGGTGATCTCTTCTGTACTATGAGATAGGCGTGCTACCCTCGAATCCCGACCGTGGATCCTTCTTATTAAAATCGAATATGTAGGTAGCAGAGAAGGCTCTCAGCTTGCGACCTCAACAATCGCTTCAGCGATTGGATCAACGACCATGGAGTTATGGTACTAGACAAATACACAAAATCCAAACGTGCTCAAAGACCTTTTTGCGCAATGCTTGGTACCTTGCCTCTTGGTGTCATGACAACTTAAGTACAAATGGAGTATTAGTCTTGCGGGCATGTCGAGCTCCATACGAACAAGAAGAGTCGAATGGCGGTTAGAAGCAACCTTTCCTTGAATTGTGCAACTGCACCTTGGCTTTTGCGCTACTTCGCTTGGCTCTATAGCTAGTCTCCAGCGTTATGAAGCAAGGTGCTTCCGCTCATCATTTTCCTTTTCGTAGTAGCTTTCCAGGAAGCTAACGACCTTGAAATTTAGCCACCAACTTTGCAAATAGCGTAATGCGCACATGTAGAAACAGGCCTTTGAACAATTGACGCGAAACTGACTAAATTGGTTCCCTTATTCAACTACCTAATGTTGAGTTCTATGAAGTCAAGCATGAAAGCCAACAGCCGCTTACGACTATCAACTCTTGCCTCGACAACCATTCCGAGAAGCATACGATCTTATTTTAGGTGTGTATAATCAATATTATGTACTGTGGTGTTAATTTAACTGAACCAGGCCTATAAAACAGAGCTCTACTCCTATTGATCAGTATTTGGAAAGACCGAGGCTCACCATGTTGAACGTGATCATGCAGTATTACTGCCCGGTGTCGCCGATTGGACTTGTAATCTTAGTAAGCGTATACACTGATATACATGTACCGGTGCTAGCAAGAGAACCCTTGATACTGTGTACTATCACAAGATTCACACCTAGCACACACCGTCAAAGAGACATACCCAATGCACACAGTGTTAGATATATTGTACATGATTGCAGTCTTGTAGATAATGCCGGTCGTTTGCCGGTCAGAACGGGTCAGAACGGCATGATGACATTGTGTTTCACTGTCAGTTCTGATCACACCGTCATCGTTGCACTCTGCTGACAGGGAGGAACTTTCAACACCCGCTATAGAGTAAGTTTGGTAAAGGGAAAATACCTTAGGTAGTAATCAAGAGTTTGCAAAAGCAACCCAACAGCTTGTGGAACTGTCGCGCAAGACGATGTGCCCCGTCAGTTATGCTACTGCCAGAACATAATATAACTCTATCTTTCTCTATCCTTCTAGATCAGGGCACAACTACTGAGCCTAAGAATACGATCATGTTCATCCAGTATTGACCCTCCTTGTATACGATGCCGATCGTTTGCCGATTAGACCAACAAACATGCTCACTAGCAACGCCTGTTCTATTCGCTACGGTAAAGCACCACATTGCCAACACGCCCATGTCCTCACATCCGCCCCAAAAGCAGATCTACGCACAATTATACATATAATCACTACTGTCGTTAAATCAGTCACATCAATGTCAGTGAATCGCGATCTGCTCTCCTCTGCTGTCATGCCCGTTTGATACTTCAAGTAAGCGCATACCTTATTTTTTGGAGAAATCAGCCTCAGGCTCTATTGTTAGATTTTCCTCAGGGCACGGGGATAATCATAAAGAGTACTCGCACAATATTGTAAGCTAGGGTTGAGAAGCATTAAAAGTGGAACTTAATACATCAGGTCACTGGTTGTGGTCATCGCTGTTCCCTTAGAAAGGATATTTACCAAGTATGAAGAAGTTATGGATTGCACCCGTCTTCATATTTTGCTTTTTTGACTATTTTACACTGAGCACTACGGTGTATGGGGAATTTGCAGTTCGATCCGACAGCGACAGTAACAGTGCTTCTTTTGAGAGTTCTTCTGTTGACAGTGATGCTGGGCCCTGTTTCCTAACCCAATCCTGTGGTCCTGGAACTATCCTGCAATCAGCTCAACCAAATGAGTTCGATCTGATACGAACTGCTCTAGAGTCCATTTCTTCTGTAAATGACCTTATTTTGTCGCTCGGTGAGATGCTAGGCCAGCAACGGGATGTCGAACTCGGTGGAACGCCTGTTGATATGGTAGATTGCTACCTTTCAACTGAAGGTGGACCCTTTCCAACGGAGCAGCGTATTAACGCCAAAGGTAACCTCGGATTTTCCCTAGTCATCGTACCTGTTGAGGGCAACGACGTGTTGGTTTCTTTCATCTTTACCGGCCTGCCGTATTCATTTGGAGAGCTTCGCTATGATGTAATTCTGGTCAATGACGGTGAAGAGACACTCGTCTCTGTAACGCCGCGTTTTCGCGCCACCAATGGAGACGTTTTTGATCTGTTCCTTTCTGGTGAGGTATGTGATTGTTGCTGCCAATATCAGATGTTTTGTCAGATCAGTCGGAGAAGTTACCGGTAAATCTTCACCTCAGTAATCTATGCATAATGTAGATACATTGACGTTTGGAGACATCATATATATCATTGTTGCTACATTGAGTTAATCAGCTGAGCAATCCAGGCATTGGCTGCTAAAAATTGATGATAAATAACGTTTGGTTAATTGGGGGGAAATGCTTGAGTAAACTTCAGGATGTTTTTGAATGAGCTGAGGTTGGTCTTCATTAGTATGTTTCAGCAATGACGCAAGTAAGCTCCTTTAGGCGGCCTTAACAAAGCATGATCTGCGAAAATCTTCAGATCATTCGCTTTCATAGTATTTTGTAGGCCTTACTAGTATTCTATGGCGTTTTCGTGTTTCCTGAGATTATCAGCACGACGAGAACCCGTAATTAAAATGAGTCTAGTGAGCGGTCCGTGACAAGATCCCGCAGTGACCTTTTTTAGACACGCATTGCCTTCGTCTTGTACCCGTGTTGTCGGTGTTGCTATGTATTACGTATGGGCGTTGAATTCAGTTAGTGCCATATCAATCAATGTTACAAATGAGAGTCCTCCTCACTATTAGTTCGAATACTTGTAGAGCTATCTTACACAAGGCACAAAGCTACACGCATCGTTCGTTGTGACTAATAATTTCATGCCCACAGGCAATCATTCAACAACTCTTGTCTGGTGCTTGTCTATGGGCATGAACCTGTTAGTTACAACGAACGAGGCGTGGTGCTCTGTGCCTTGTGTATTAATCAATGTTATCGTGTTCAAAAAACATTTGCAGATCCTGTGATCATGTTGCACATACACAGTCTTCGTGGATATAGACATTAACAGTGTGTGTGTTACTGCTGCTAGACATGGGGCCAGTAGTAATGAAGCTCGTTTCCTTTTTTGGACTTCTGAATAGGTGTGTTCCTTATCTGAACCCTTGGTTTGCGGAGGAGAGGCTCCAACGGATCCACCGTTACCTCCAGATTTACCAACATTGCCGTCTGCTCAAGCAGCTGAACTTAGTGCAGCGATGATGTCAGTTCAAGGTGCTCTATGCCCACGGACGTAGTGGTGACCCAAGAAAAGCCATTATGGTGATAACTGTGGAAAGAGATAAACTCGGTGTAATATTAAACCTTTCCGGTCCCTTCGGCTCATATAATAGTCACCAAACTTGCCGCTTTCATGTCAAGCCCTTTGCAACACAGTCTTGCCTGCTTTTAGCTTTACACCCATGTTTCTGTAGCTGTGCTGGAACTGATGTATTTCGCCGCCACTATTCACCATTAGCCATGCCCCCCCCCCCCCCTCCACCCTACACAGTGGGTCCATTGTTATTAGGCATCTGCCTGTTTTGGTTTCTCCACTATAAATAAAAGAATACTACTACTACTATACGACTTGAAGTATTTTTCTAAATAGACTCCTATTAAAAACTGTTAATCTCTTGTTGTAAAACAATCTAAAGTATTCAGGAATACAATCTTTCTATGACATTTTCTGATTCTTTTTAGCTGTATTTTGGTTTAAACGCATCTTCCTCATGACCCTAGATCAGCCATCTGACGCAGCGTGCATCGAAATTCTGGAATCACTGAAATGTGCTTGATCAAAATCAGCTCAAATCTTTTGATTTCTGCGATTTTGATCAGCGTTTCATTAGCCGTACACTTGGGATTTTTAGTTTTCGAGATACGATGACAAAAAGCAAGTACCAGAGTATACCTCGTATTGAACCCATGACTACTAGTACATGTATACTGAACTTTGATCTGTATTGTTTCGATCCATAAACGGCTGTTGGTGTAAGTGAGTGATGTGTGCTTGAAAAAAACACTCCGATGGCTTGTGACTATATCCACTGGTAATACTCCGGAGATGTTGCTGGTGACACAAATTGTGTTGATTTCGCCTTATGCACTTGCCTATCTTCAACCCTTCATATCTCACTGGTATCACTGTGGCTTTCAATACAATTTTCTATGTGACCTTGTGATATCCTGCACTATCGATTACCGATTATAAACCTAGAAAAAACGCGATTTGAAAAAAAATGGGGTGCAGTGCCTATTAATAGCCAGAAGTGATGACAGACAACGTCTCTAGCGATTATTGCAACTGGCCGGACTTTGTGCTGCAATATCTGTGATTGCAAGAGCCAGTGACAGGGCAAGCCGCAAATTGCGGGAGGCAGTATAGATCAGAAACGAAAGCCCAGAGATCAACACCAGTGCTGGATGGTCATTACTCTAAAACAGTCAC